TCTTTATATCCAATTGCGATTTTTCGGTGGTTTAGTTGATCCGTAAATGTCGATGAATAAATAGCATACACCATCTCTCTTTCCTCAACTTATTTTCTTGCTTGCAATTCAGGTTTCATGTTTTCAGCATTGGGCGCCGGACATTGGGATTTAGTGTTCTGATACAGGTGAAGACTGGAACAAAAGTTTCGGTACGTAATTATTCGTTTCTCTGAATAATATAGTAGTTTAATGATATATCAATCACCTTGTGTCAGGCATTTTGTATTCCATGTCATCATTCTGGGTTTCTTTACCACAGGGGACAATCTTTTGATGAGCAATGTAATTTCTAATATATTTTCCTTAGGTTGAATAACTGATAGGATGAAATCAATACTACCCATGGAGTTATCTGGCTTGTTAATGTTGGACGCGACATTTTACGGGCTATTTGATTCCTTTAATTGTTGCTTTCTAATTCATTTTTGTCATAGTTCTGATTGCTTGTTTGTCTTGAGATAAGATGGCTGTTTTGCCATTTTGTTTTGGTTTTCTAAACTTCCCTTTCCCTTCTGGATTTCTTTGCATTTAGTAGATATTTTATCTGTTTATATTTTGGTCTGCAGGAAGTGGTTGTGGGTCCTGAGAATAGAACAGTGACATCTGATGGTAACTTTTTGAGGGTTAATCTTATTGGAGATTTTGTTGGATACACAAATATACCTTCTTTTGAGGATTTCTATCTTGTTGTTCCAAGGCAGGTATGCTTGTTTCACTGATATAACCATAAATGACATTTATTGATTTAACAGCCATAAGCAATATATTGGAAACCAATCAAACAGTAGAATTTTTTTTTTTTCCATGTTTTTCTTTGATGGCAGGGAGGCCCTGGTCAACCACAGGATTTGGGGAGAAACTTTTCTGCATGGATGCTGCTAGAGAGAGTGAGGTTTACCTTAGATGGTCTTGAATGTAACAAAATTGGTGTCAGTTATGAAGCTTTCAATGGACAGCCAAACTTTTGCTCTTCACCATTTTGGAGTTGCCTGCATAATCAATTGTGGAACTTTCGGGAGGTTGGTAAAATCAAACTGCGATATGAATGCTTATTAAATTTCCTAGTAATTATGCTCTTTTTCCTTCCTTTTTTGGGTAGGATCTCTTCCTTTCTTTTTCTAACCATATTTTCTGCACTTTCACGGGATGATTGTGTGAAGTAGTTTTTGACAGTGTTCTAGCCCTTCTACCACGTAAATATGTGAACTGAATAAACTTCCATTGGTACATTTTATACTTGTCGTTGTCATTGTTGTAATTTGCAAAGAAAATTTCTTGTCCTCAACAGGCTGACCTAAACAGAATCAATAGGAATCAGGTTCCACTCTATGGCGTGGAAGGAAGGTTTGAAAGGATAAACCAGCATCCAGTATGTTGCAATAGTTGTACTTTACATTTACAGGTTTTTTATATTTCAAATTATACGTAACTTGACTTGGTGGCAGAATGCAGGGACCCATTCTTTCTCCATAGGAATCACGGAAGTTCTTAATACAAACCTTGTGTTAGAATTAAGTGCCAATGACGTAGAATATGTCTACCAAAGGTATATAATATTAGTTGCAGTATCTCTCTTTATATTTGCTAATGTAAATGAAGTGGATATTACAATTCCCAGCCTTATAAGGAAGCAGCATTGCTCAAAAGAAAATGTTCTACTGGAGGCGGCACTTTGGAAAAAAACAAAAAAGTGGCAGAGAAATGTGGTTAATTTTATTGGAGATGATTTTGGAGGAATGGTTTTGATTTTCCATGAAATTACAGCAGCTTTTTGGTTCTTCATATGTTAATATAAATGCTTTTCTCTAGGAGCCCTGGAAAAATTTTAAGTGTCAGCGTCCCTACATTTGAAGCTTTAACTCAATCTGGAGTTGCAACCATCACCACTAAGAATACTGGTGAGGTGGAAGCATCATATAGTTTGACGGTAGTTTGCTGTTCAACTTTTCCTATCATAGCTCCTCCCATTTCAGCTATTAGATAACGCCTATGCTAAGCTTCAAGGGATCTATATCTGTTTCTTAAACATTCAATTAATTTATTGTTAACCTCACTTTCTGTACACAGTGGTTGGTATGAATTAACTTGATTTCAACAAGCTCAGCATTATTGCTTGATTCTTGAAGGTGTTTGCAGAGCTCTGTTCAATCTCGTTTTGGTTATTTGGTCTTTTAGTTTGTTAAATTGATTGTGGTTATCAAATTTCTATGATGAGCTAAGAAAATGAAAATAATAAATCCTTGATGTTTTTTATGTACATATGTTTTGTTGAGTACACATTCTGGGCATGCGGGTACAACTTTTTTCGGTTCTGATGTATTTTCTTGGCTTCCAGTTTAATTGCTCAAATGACGTCACCTTGATGGAGGTACTTCCTGGAAATATCAATGTTAAACAAATTTAGTGTTCCCCCCATCCAGTTTTACAATTTTATTGGTAATTTAATTGTGGATCATACATTGAAAGTTCTCATGGTTTCAGGAGCAATTCCTAATAATGAAGCCGAATGAGATTACCACCCGATCATTTAAAATCTTTCCAACCACGAATCAAGCCGCGAAATACTTCTGTGCAGGTAAATATGATGCTCATGATTGCATTTGCATTGCGTTATCATCTGTTGTAAGGACAAAAAGTCAGTAAGAACTTTTTTTCTTTAATGTCTTCCTTTTGCTTTCTTTTTGAAGCCATACTGAAGGACTCTGATTACACCGAAGTTGATAGAGCCGAGTGCCAGTTTACTACTACAGCAACTGTTCTCGACAATGGATCCCAGGTTCGTTCTTTTGCTGCATCTGAATTTTGTTGAGCTCTCCTTGAATAATTCAAACCGGGACATGAAATAATCCTAATGAAATTAATAAAATTATGGGGAAAATAGTATCTTTTAATATGGGCTGTTAGGCAAGGGCCATCTATGGCATAAAATTTCTTGTCCGTTGCTGGACTTGTGCATGTGCACCAGACAAGTAGAAAGAAAAGGAAGAAAACAATTGAATTGATTCAATAATACTCACGTTAATTAGCCCACTCCTACAATACTACTCCTCCGGTCTTTAATATAAAACTTATTTAACTAATTTGATTAGATTAAAGAAGTTAGGTAAGTTAGTTAATTATAAAAAAAATATGACATGATTTTCCTAAAATACCATAATCATCTTATTTAATATCCTTTCTCCCTCTTTTACTTAATGATGGTTGAGGGAGCATCTACTGGGGTAATTTAGGAAAAATTAATAAATATGAGAAATAGGTCTTATATTTAAAATCAAAATCAGCTCAACAATTAGATCCTATATTAAGAATAAGAGGAGTATTATTTTGACTAACTGGTATACTTCAGTTATTAACTACCAAAATGCTACAAAACCAAAATTCGTGATCAATAATGCTACTGTTTGGTCAGCTATCAACGTACCTACCTATTCTGCACGGTCAGCTACTCCGAGTGCTTAGCTGCCAGTGCCACCCCACTTCAATTCCATGAAATTTTACTTCGCTGCTACTCACTTCTATTCCATAAACTTTTAAGTTCTCGAGATCTAAAGAGTAAACGTGAATATTTAAGGGGTCATGAGAACTTTTATCTGTATCAAAGAAAATAGGAATCTTCCTTTCTTTCAGATCTAAGCTTAATTCCATTTTCCATGTCACTTATTTTATCCAAAAAACGAAAGAAAAGAAAAATGCAACACATTTCATATTACAAACGAGCATGCCAGGGGTTTAAGCAAAGAAATTCTGACATGGTTATCGAAAACTATCTTTTAATTGTTGTACAAAAATTCTATTTAAATGATATGGAAACAAAAGCAGTTGAATTCGAGAATCATTCAATTGTTTTCTTAGCGCAGGGTATACCTTTTCAACCACCAGAGACTAGTAAAAATGGTTTCTTTGATTCTATTGAAATCATATGGAATAAAATATGGGCAAGTTTTAAAGACTTTATCACTGGAAAAAATTGCAGGTATTATTTTCTATCAGAAATTTCATACTGCATTTTTATCACTCTAGATTGCATTTATCTGATGCAATTCCTTGTCCCCTCCCCTTTTTTCTCCGTCGGGATGAATGAACAGACAAAAATGCTCAGGGTTTTTTGACTTGCGGTGCCACATACAGTACATATGCTTGAGTTGGATAGTGCTGTTTGGTCTGTTTTTGGCAATTGTTCCAGTTGGTACGGCTTTTATTTAGTGCATATCAATATCCAAAATGTAATCAATAATTAATTATATTGTACGCATGGATCATAAATTCTGTTAGTTGAATAGCAGTGCTTGTGATACTGTGGCTTTTGCACGAGAAAGGAGTATTCGATCCTCTTTATGAATGGTGGGAAGACACCTGTGGTGAAGATGAACGGAGGATGGATAGACACAAGTTAAAAACTGGAAGGGGACACCACCACAGTCATGATAAACCTCATCGTAGGCAGGAACTGAAGCACCCTAGGCATGGTTCCCATTATAGGCGAAAAAGCAGCTATAATGACCACAAGCATAAGCATTCTCAAAGGGATCCTGATTATTACTATTATCTCCACAACGTTCAGAAAGATATACACAAGCATGGGCACAAGAAGGACACGGATAGAATGCCGCACGTTGATGACAAAGTTGGGAATCACAAGCGCAGAAAGGAAGGACAAGCTTCAAAGGGACTAGAGAAAGTGACGAGACATAACAAAGAGGCAAGAAAAATGTGACAAACACAAACAAGCTGCAGATTGAGCTGGAGATTAAGCGGAGAAAAGAGCGACCCTTACTTTATATAGTTACCATCATCTTTTAGTCTTTGAATTCTCCTATCTTTTATTTTTCTCCTTCGACCCTCCTCTCCCTCTAATGTTGGGAAGTTCAATAGCTGAGGAAGGTATGTTATTGGAAGACGAGTGCAATTTAATGTTGCCAAGTGAGAGAGATAATCAAATAGAAATGATCCGATATATGTTATGATATAGATGCCCGCTTGTTACAAAGTGAAAATTTCCCCTCCTCATCTCTCTCACCTTTCTCAGAGGTAAAACACGCCATTGTTTTGGGATTTGATGCATGCTTCTAAAACTTTTTTCCGTTTTTTCTTTTTTCCCCTTCAACAGTATATTGAGAGTAATTTCAAGTATGGAACACAAAGTTTACAGTGACGTGAACAAAACTTGAGGGATCTTCCCGGTTACTACTCTGGCCTCCACTAGGTCTTGTCATGCTCTTCTTGAAAATACCATTGGTTGAGAACATGTCAAGTATAATCCTTCTCTATATCATGACACTACCATATTCACCCCTTTTCATATTTCTGGTTCCTGCATCTTTTGATCTTTCTCTATAATTTGAACGTGATAACCATCTGGAAATTGTAAACCAGGAGTCCTTAGAATGTTCCCTCCTTTGATGGGTCGCCACCTGAAATAAGTCAGATGCTAAAGTGTTTACTCTGTTTCACAATTGAACTGCGCACGCTGACAAACATGCATGACCCAGCATGATCTTATTCTTAATTACCTGAATTTTGTCACCAAGCAATGAAGAAAGACAGCCATTTGAACCTTAGTGAACTCCGTTCCAACACAAAATCTCATTCCCCCACCAAAAGCCATGAAATTTTTTGATGCACCATTTATTTCCGCTCCCTGCAAGCAATAACCACATTTTCTCTTTTGGGTCACTAAATTGTGAAAGAAGGGTATTGAATATTAGCCTACCAAAAATTCTAGAAGCTATTGAAAAAATAAGTCCCATTATAACTGAGGAATAGTGTAATTTGTTAAAGTCTTTCATATACCTCCCATCTCCATGGGTTGACAGAAAGAGGATTCTTGTATATAGCAGGATTCAAGTGTACAGCTGGAGGACAGGCCATGACTGCCCAACCTGCAGGGATGGTATAACCTGAATTGCCCACCCAATAACGTGAAGTTGTGAGATTTGGTGTCCTTTTCGTTGCATAAAATAATAGGCCAAGCATGATATGCTGATCACATACCCTTGAAATTAATGTCCCTCAGTGCCTTTCGGAAGATTCCTGGAACTATATTTGCGAGTCTCACGGTTTCGTTTATGAACTGCGATCAGTCATGGTCTTCTTAGTGCCCCATATATACACAGAAATTAAATGATCTTATAAATTTGTCTTCAGAAAAAAAAAAAAAAGATCTTGTCCCACCTGAAATGTAAATGTCATTGATTTGTATTCTTTCCATGTGACTCCAGAGTTAGGATCTTCACGTTGCTTTAGGATGGCTTCATGTTCTTCCTAATCAAAGTACCACAGCCAGGGTTTTTTTAAATACCTTGGACTGCACAATGTAGGAAATTATACAGGTATAAACCATAAAATAAGGTAAAATTTTTAATATTAATTTCACATACTTCCAATCCCTTGAGCACTAAGGGATTGTCCTCGAGGTATTTGATGGCACAGGTAATAGCCAGAGAGGTGGTTTCAAAGCTTGCGAACAGAAGCACGAACATGAGATCAAGAGCTATTGCTTCTGTAAGTATAGTTCCTTCTTTCCGAAGTTCTTCAACCACATAATCGAAAAAATCACTCTGTTGTTTCCGAGGCCTTGCTCGTCTTTCTTGCAGCATGTTCTTCAGCATCTTCATTGCCTTTTTCCTGCCCTGAGATTGAGAGTTAAAGGGGTAAGCTTCCCTTTAGAAATTTTCATTCAGAAAAGTTAAAGAAACATGTGGGGATTGAGTGAACAATATTGAGTTGGTTTTGGCAGATTTACCTGAAGACATTTGTAATAGGCTGTTCCAGGAATGTCAAGAGGGAATGAAATGAGTCCTTGGATAAATGCAACGAAGTTCTCTCTTAAGTTCTCCGAAGACTTGGCCGAATCATGACTGATGAGTTTTTTAGCAGTCAAATCAAATATCATCTGTAAGTACATCAAACTTCGTCAGTTAAAATTCTTTGAGAAAAATAGTGAACAACTTAGTATCATCAAATTACCTTTGCTGTTGCTTCTTTCAATTCAACACTTTCCTGGAAGGACCACTGCTGCAATGTTGTGCAAACTGTTTGTTCAACTTCTGAAATCATCTTTTTAAGGCTTTCAGGACCAAACAGGTGTAATACCATGTTCTTGAGGTACTTGTACATAAAACCATGCAAAGAACCAACGTTTTGTCTCCCAAATATCTCTGTGAAGGTATCTGGGTACCAGCTCTGAAACAATTGTCCTTCTTGTTGGAAGATGAAGTGATTAAGAGCAGGGTCTGTTGATATTACAACCGGACGTCCTACCAAGTTGGTCTTGAATATTGGGCCATATCTGCATCATTCAAAATAAATGAGAAATTTGAGCTAACTAGAATATGAGAGCAAAACAAAGTTAAAGTAAATAACTTAGAGATGTAAAAGTACATCTCCTGTGAAACAAAAGAAAGCTTTATGCGTCTGTACTTACTTTTCCATCCTCAGTTTGATGAAGGGGGGAACGTTATCAGTAGTGTTAGGAGAGAAAAACTGAAGGGTTTCACCCAGAAGTGGCAATCCCATGGAACCAGGTGGGAGTTTCCCGTTGCAACTGGGATTTCTCCATCTGCAAACCCAGTGTGTAATCCATATAACAGCCAGCGCTCCAACACATAGATACCACATTTTCTAAACTTCTCTTAATAATTGCTCAATTTTTCTGAGAAGATAATATGGAAAAGGGAAGTTTTTTGACAGAGGAAGAAAGGACAGGTTCAGAGAAATGAATATGAGGGAGAGAGACTAAGGTGAGAAGGGGAAGAATGGACAGAAAGGAGTAGACAGTGCTGGCATGCATCCCAGAAGATCTACTTAAATAGGCAGGCCACTTCCTAAGGAAAATAATATATTAATAATTTTGAGCTTCTCTTTGTTTCGTGCAGTTGGTTGCTCAAAAAGCTGTACGAGTAGTTGGAGATAGAATAGAATAAGCGGAGTTATATCTGTGTGTAGACAAATACTATTATAATTGCTTTGTCAACGGCATATATGATGTGTTCAAAAGCCTTGCATGGTACGAAATTTACCCAGATGCTTCCTTTTTCCACGTCTTCCCTCTTAAAACAACTTTTACTTTTCAATTTTCATATTTCTGATTATTGGTGTGAACAGTCCAAATATGACAAGAAACTGAAGAGCACGGGCAGAACTAAATCTTTTTTTAAAGGAGATTTTGAGGGAATTTCCTAGATTTGCCAGAGTATAGCAGAGATTCATAGAATCTGTATGACGAAACTAAGCATCTCAAGTAAATCTTCCACGGATCATTAAATGCTTAAAAGTCTCTTCAACTTCCTGAAGATTTAACCAACTTGAAAATCTTTTGCAATATCTACGCTGATATTATTCAATCTAAGAGGTTGATGATGCCCACAAGAGAAGGCACACCATATTACTCTTGTTCCTTTCGTTCTTATAATTGGCGAAATCTTTTGCTAGATCTTCCTGCCCGAACCAAATAGATAACATAGTCCCATATAAACTAATAAAATGCTCTACCTTAAATCTTAAGACACAAATCATTGGTGATTATCTGGAGGGTTCGGGAAAGTTCAACCAACAACTACTATACGCAGTCTTGTTTTTATTTCATGATGTGGTAAAAGTTTAGTTATTGAGCACCGCCCAATCTGTCCATTGAGCCACGAACTTGACCCCATTGCAGCAATTACCATGATAATGGGTAGGCTTACTGTGTGAACGAAGACCCACCATTATTGCTTTTGAATTTAAATATCCTCATTTGAATAAGGTGTCACTACAGAATTGGTTGGATACAATTAATCAGGGGAGTAATCAATCGGACAATGTGCACAGATAGAAGCTGGTCTTTCCCAAATATCTGGCTATGGGTTTTTAAGTTCCTTTACATGAGTTGGGAAACAACAAGGTTCTCGAGGCTTGATATAAGTGTAGCATGTAAAGTTGGTTCAGGAGATATGTCTCATTAGCTGTCACAAGTATGGATTAATTATGAGATTATGAGAAAAGCTCAAACACTAATTAGTCAAGATCATCAAAGTTTCTTCCATTTAATCATGGATCTTTGTTCTCTTCAACGCCTGCAAGGTGAGATGGTTGGATGTGTTTTAAATCCAGCAAAAGGATGAGCCACTTTATTGCTTGACTTTTTGGCAAGAACTTGGAAAGGTACCGAGAAAGAGGTGGGCAATAATGCAGGATCAATGAACCCTTTTATTTAATTCAAGTTTACAACTTGTTTCACAACTGGTACAGTGGAAAGTTTCTGCTATGAGGTCATGCAGAGGCTTCTTTAATTTTATTCTTCTTGCTCCCCTTTCCCTTTCTCTCTCTATTCCCTTTTTGAGAAAGTATGGTTTGGAGAGAATTAAAATGTTGTTGTGGGAAAATGGGTGAGATAAGAGGGTCCTACATGTCTGATTGTTAAATGGCACAAAATCTTATGGTGGGTACCCATAAGCAGCTGGTCCACTTCAAGTCTCCTATTCCATGTTCCACTTGATGCTACTTATTCACTTTAATTGGTTAAGTGCATCCCCATAAACACATATATACTCCCTGTTCTTATTATAAGGAATTTTCTAGAAGGAATAGATGGTCCTTAATATAAATCCCTTGGTGAGGTATTAATTATGTCTTTTTAATATCACCTTTTATTGTGATGCAAACTAAATTTTATATTTAGAATATTTCATAACAAGAGCCTAGTGCTGTAATCAATTTGTAAAGGAAGTGATCACCAACTGATTAAGGTGGGTTTTTTTTTTTCCATTTAACATATATAAAGGAAAAATTGAAAACAGTCAAAGAAAATCACTTGCAACGTCAGCATATTGAGTATATAAGAAATATTATTTCTGGTGGTTAATATAAAAACTAATTAGGAGTTGGATTTAGTCCCAAATATATTTTTTATAATTAATTAATTTATCTGATTTTTTTTAATCTATTTAAATTAACATTCTGGAGCCCCACCGCTTGGTACATGTGGATCAAAAGTCTGAGTGCGTGTTACATTCGCAATTGTAAGACTGCTCATAGAATGCAAGAAAAGAAAGAATTATAATTCACTTTTTGCTTCCTAAGGAATCAAAGTAGATCTTGACACGCTACGATGTATCTTGACCTTATCACACACGTATCGCTGCCATTTTCTCTCTCTTTTTTTTGGTCAAAATATTTGTTGCTAAACTGATCATAAGAACAGAAACCAGTGCTTAAAAGTTTCCAATTAATTAACTGATTTAACTCGTGATGTGTGTGCGTGCGCGTATATATATATATATGGTCGGGAGGGATATGCATTGTGAATAACGTTGCCAATCGATCTATATATTAAAATTCATGTGTGTGAACATTAACCAGAGAAATTAAGTTTACAGGAGCTTTCAGTGAACACATAACTATGTAGCTTCTCTTTTTGCCTGCACATGCACACATGTGGTGGTGAAGAGATCCCATATTTTATATTTTAGAATATCCGCATATGAATGGATTTAAATTGACATGAGAAGCCCTACATAGAATAAAATTGATCTTAATTAATAAATAATACTACCTCCGGTCTTTAATATAAGACCTTGTTTGACTTTTATTTTGATTCTAAATATAAGACCCCAATCTACTTTGTCTCTCATATTTATGCATCTTTTTCCAAGATAATCCTTCTAATAATTGTAGTTCTAGCTAATATAGTTGATTAATAAGGATATTTTAGGAAAGGCAATACCTATTTATTACAAATAACTAACTTAACTTCTATTCTTAATCTCCTCAAATTAGTCAACGGGGTCTTATAATTAGGACCGGAGGTAGTATATACTACCTCCGATTCTTAACATAAGAGCTAGTTGATTAATCTAAATAGATTAATAAAGTTTGTTAAGTTAGTTACTTGTTATAAATAGGTGTTGTCTTTCCAAAAATACCATTGCTAATCATGTACTATATTAACCAAAACTACTATTTAATAAAAAATTTAATATATGCAGCTACGATAAGGACTATCTTAGAAAAAATAAATATGAGAGACAGAGTGAATTTGAGTCTTATATTTAGAACCAAATTAAAAGGTAAACTAACTTTTATATTAAATATCAGAGGTAATAATAAAGCGTAGGGATTCATAAACTCAAATCTTAACATTTTGAATTAAGATGTGATATCATCCACTTGTTTACGGTACATTTCGTTTTTATCCCCTCATTTCCGCTTCCCTAGCCATTCCTAACACCATATATTAGACTTATTAGGTGGTCAAGTTTTTGAATATATGTGTGTGCATGTGTGTGTTCTCAACACTTGTTGGAGACGTCATGCTAGGATGGAGGCAAGAACAGGGCAAAGTCAAAGGGATTAAGCATGAAAACGTGTGGTTCTTAACAGGAAGCTCCATAAAAGTGGTGTTATGTTCTATAAGGAGAAGTTCAGTGGCTTGACATGCAAGCTTCTGAAGTCCAATTTGTCGACCTCGATTTATACAGTTGCAGGGCTTTTTTTTTTATTATTCGAGGCAACTTGTCCTCATCTCTTAACTCTTGTTCAGTATCTGGTCCTGACTCGCAAATAATTGGACCCTTTATTTGCAATACAAGCTACGCCCTTGAAAGAGCAATTTTTAAAGCCCCCTTCATATGCTCTCAACGTCACACGTGTTTGATTCAAAAGTCAAATGTCAAAACTATAACCTTTTGACGATCTAAGGGTAAAAGTTCTTAAATGCTGCCTCATCTTTCTTCAACTTCATCCTCGACTTTTGCAGAACAGATTTCGCGCCAACAAAATAGTATTGGTTCTAAAGAACAGATATCTCTCTGGTGCTCATTACAAGTCACCTTTTTTCTTAAAAAAAATAGATGGTTTTTAATGTTATAATTTACTAAATAGGGTATTAATTATGATTTCTCAATATTATACCTATTTAAAATCTCATTAGTCGCAACTTTTATGACTTTTTATGCATTTATAGTATTAAATATATGTAAATTTGAAATTTCTTTTATTGTCGAAGAAAATAATAATTTAATGACCTCTCCTTAATTCTGCAGAGATGATTAAAAGTAACTTCTCATAAGAACCAAAGTGATACAGCACGTTATTCTTTTTCCTTCTGGCTAATAGACTTGTTCGATCTGTGGATGATGACTTCCCCTTGTTTTTGAAATCAAAAGCGAGTGCGCCAAGCAAGCGGTTGCGCTGGTGCCGTCATCCCTGAATTAATTACGGAAACGGGATAATTTAATTTGTGCATGTTCTTAATATATACTCTGGCATTATTTTTATAAGGCACTTCTAATATGTTTCACACAGACAAAAAAAAACCTTAAACTTCATTTACTCTTATTTAAAATTTAATGACTTTTCAATTTTATCCCTATTTAATATACATTATACCTCGTATAAACAAAATCTACACAATAATAAATGAGGGGTAAAATTGTATATTTTTAGAAAAAATTTCTCTCAGTACCCAATAAATAGGACTAAAAATACCTTCTCTCAGTAAGTTAGTTAAAATTTAATTTAATCATACATTTAATTTTAACATTTATCTATTTTGCCTTCAAGTAGTCTATTGATTGTACATGTTAATGAGTTATTATTAAAGAGTAATTCAAATGCATGTGATGAATAAAAATATTTTTTAAAAAAAATCTATTTATTACAAATAACTAAATTAATTTTTTAACTTAATTTTTTTATTGTTCATAAATTAGTTATTTAGTTTCTCTATTAACAACAAAAAGTAGTATTATAATTTTTTTAAAAAATGGCACAAATAATTTAATTGAAAATTTTTCAAGAGACAAACAGGAAACCAGTTAAAGGTGGAGGAGAAACATGCGCGTAAGACGGAAGCCGATATCCTGTAAGCATGCGGTGAGCTTTCAAGGCCATCGCCTACAGGCGCCTCCTCGGTGCATAATGAATCATTCTGTAGCATCTGAGGAAGTATGTAGCTGACAAGTGTTCAAATGTATGTAAATTTCATACTTGGCGAGCAATTCAATAGTCCACATCAGACTCTCTTCAGTTCTTAAATAACCAAATAGTAATGGTTAGGGTAGATTCCTATGTAGCCCTCATGGTCATGGGGTTGGAGGGGAAGAAGTGATTTAATAGGTGGTTGAACCGGAGGCATACGAAGCCTATAATTGATTAGTTAGGCCTAGCTGCAGAGGCCACAAAAAGAGAAAGAAAAAGACGGAATCTGAGGGGAATGAAGATGGCATTTACTACCAAGCATGTGGTCAATGAAACAAAACACAATGCAACCAAGCTAACAGCAGAGCATAGCATCATGAATAATGAATGGAGGCAAGTTGCTGCTTGTAGCTGATCCCTCACAAGGCATGTTACACATTATCCGACCATCCAGTGCATTGTTCCTTACATTCCGGGCCTCCAGGGCCCACCCTGCTGCAAAACATAGTCAGCCATGACGTCACTTTGAAATACCTTTCTCACTCCTTTCTTCCCCCACATATCTACAAGAAAGTCAAGTCAGTCATGCACTTGCGTCAACCCTAGTCAAATGCTACTAATCACCGACTCGTTCATAGGCTGAGATGAATTTAAAAACAGATGAATCTGGTGAGGCACAAGTTATAAAATTACCAATAACACTTGCACCCAGAAATTGCACAATTATACAAGTTGACCGAATTAGTGTACCTCGTAGGACAAACATGACAAATCACCATTATAATTGAAAGCCAAGAGTGTTGAGCAATGAGATAAGATTTTGTAATTCTCTATTCTTGAATTCTATCCAGATACTGATAATCTTCTTCTAAAAGCTAAACACGATCGCAACAATCCATGTTCAAGCAGATACAGAGGATTTGCACAGGGATTGAATAATGGCACAATCATGGATTGCGGAACACGGGTCATGGTCCTTCTGGAGCTCATAGAATACAGAGAAACTCAATGTTCATATATGCAAGCGTACTTCTAAGGAGTTCTTCAAGGTTTGACATCTTGAAGCTTTGCCGCAGATAGCTTTGTAAGCATTCTGTCATGATTCAGCATGGCACTAACACTTTCAACCACCAGAACAAGCTGCCAATGAGCATTAAAAAGCATATGCATAAGTTGACAGGATGGCCATGGATCATTTATCAATTATTACAACTTCAAACACAAGTACCAAACTCCACAAAGACAAAAGCACGTTTCTAAATATACATAGTTATCATGTTTCCCCTCTATACAAGTGAAGCCAGATTGTGTGGTTCTTCCATAAAGGAAGAGATAATCCGCTTCTGTTCGCAGTTTTGGTTAGTATTTTTCCAAACGTGTATAGAATAAGCAGTTTAAAGGTTCGAGCTATGAAAAAGGGTAGAAGATGCCAGATTGGATGGGGCGCTCCAGCCATACTAATGCACACATCACAACCCCCCCCCCCAAAAAAAAGGCCCTAAAAAAAAAAAGTACTCTCCCTTAGGAAAAAAAACAGAGAGAGAAAGGGGGAGCCCAGGAGAGAAAACAACGCCAATAACTAGATATAACACACCTGCAAGCAAGCATAAGCAATTGCAGTCGCAAAGTAGAAGTTTGCATTCCCCGTACCCTGCCAATTTCGTTACACAGGTGGAAATCAAAAGGATAATACAGCTTTTGGAAAACGTAGATCAGTCAAAAAGGATGCATACCCGCCATATCCATAGGTTGTGCATGACAGGGCTAAGAAGTGAAACGCCAACATAACCACTAAACAGGAAGAATGAAAACTTCATGTCTGAAACATCATGGAAGGAATACTGATTAAAACAATAGTTGATACCAACAAAAGTTCAGAAGAAAAGTAGAATTTACCAGAGAGTTCATAAGCAAATAACCCCAGTAAGCCCAAGTATAGAGCCGAATCACCAACCTAATCAAAATAAAAACAGAATAATAAAGGAACTAATCACCTTGCAAAGGAATCCAAACCCACAATGAATGAATCAATGAGCATAAAAATTAAAACAACAAGACATTTGTGATTTATGCATTTGAGCAGCTTTCATATTTGAAAGCCCACATTTTCCTACTATGTTGCTTGTTCTTTCTACCAAGTGTATGTGGAAGTGCAAGTGCGAGCAATAGTGCACAGATGTTCTCATCTGAGCATTTTCCATTTGGAAGTTGATTTGAACCCAACATAAGAGTACCTGACCACAGGAATGCTGTTACCAATCAAAATGCTCCTTGCTACACTAAGTTATGCAAAATAATGCATGCATGGGGATTTTTTGAACATGATACAGAGTGCTGGACTTATCAAAGTCAGAGCAGGCCTCACAGCTCAAAAAACATTCATAGAGATGCTTACGAATTCCCTAGCAACGAGGTTCTCATGCTAGCAACAGGATTCTAACACACATCCTTGTGAGGTATAAATTGTATCCTTACTAACTAGAACAATTGTTTGAGGGCTGGCCTGGTTTTCAAAGTACTGATATCTTGGATCATTGAGATAGCATTTCTTTCCTTCCAGTTTGAAATAATCTTTTCAATCAATGAACAGTAGAGCTTATATGTTAAAAAGGTTCACGCTTAAAAACTTAGACTCTAATGCAAAACTTCAACCTAGTTTTGGATAGAGGGTAGTGGAAAATGGGACAACTTACCGATGGATAAGACTTCAGCATACAAGTAATCACAGTATATACAAAAGCTAGAAAGCATGGGCGGTGATTAAGCCGTAAGGCCAATGGTACTATCATCAACAAAACATTCCCATGGAACACTATTAGGAAAAAGTTTCTGAAGAAGTCAAAAACTTCCGCAAAGAAGTACCTGCATTCATGTATGAGAAGACTGTATAAGTGCAACTGTTTTTGAGAGGAATAACATTCAAAGACCACACAGCAAAGGAGTAGCACATACCACAGAACACCTATATTTGGAGAAAGATCAGGTATGGTAAGAATGAAGCCATAAGTTCTGCATAAACAAGCCACAAATACAGAACCAATCATTATGGCATAAAATTAAACATAAAGCAGAGTGATTAAGCAAGCCATTCCACTCAATCAAGAAATCTGGAGACAATTCTAATTAGGATTAAGGTGCAAATTTACTCTGGAAGTTTTCACTTGAGCATCTGCTACCTGGAAGTTTCTTTTTTTTTTTTTTTTTAAATGCAAACCTGCCTTAGAAGTTTAAAATCATAGCAATTTTATTCCCTATCGTTAAAAAACTAATATTAAATGTTAAAATAGTGACATTGGCCATTAACATTTTTAACACTAAGGGGCAATATTGCTACGATTTTAAATTTTCAAGGCAAATTTGAACCCAAAAAGACTTTCGAGTGCCCAATGCTCCTGAGTGAAAACTTCTGGGATAAATATGCACCATGGCCCTTCTATTACGATGGACATTCTTCAATAAACCAGAATCACACCGGTGCACTCAATTTATTCAAAATCAATTACTAACTTTCACCCCCTGATATTGAAAACCATGCACAACATATTTGCATAAATTAAATTAAAATAAAATAAATTCACGATTGCAGTAAAAACTATAAAAGTGACTACTCAAAACAATGATTACCATCACCTGCTAAATTTTTTTTTTTTTTTCATTTGTTTAAAGTTAGTAGCAGTGTTCTAACACACTTGTATGACTGACAGAATTGTGGTCCTCAACTTCTCCCACAATATATACAGCGGCAGGTGTTTCCATAAAAACTCCTGTTCCAGTCCATTCATAGACAGGAGCGGAGATAGCCAATTACTTAATTTTTATTCCAAATGATATTAATGGTGTAGAACTGTACTTTAAACAATAACTCATTCATGCCCTTCTTTAGTCGCTGAAAAGGACAGAGGTCTTCAGTAATTATCGTAGCCACGATCCAGGCAAAATCACGTTCAACTTTGAAATAGAAGTCTGTGTTTCAAAAAGTATTTGATCTTGTTTAGCAATGCAACAGACTCAATACACAGAAAACAATATGCAGCTATCTTTTGGCACCTGCAAAATTGTAGTAGAGCACAAATAGTGATAAAGGACTTAAGCAAAACCTTTTAAATAACTCCTCAAGACTGCCATGCCGCCTGGCATAAATACCACATAAAACTAAAACATAGGATGACCACAGCAAAATCCAGAACAAAACATGTAAGACTGGTTTCCATGAAAAGAAGTTCAGCCCCCTTAGCTGATTCTTCACATCCTTTTCTACAGAACCCTTATCAATTGAAGAGGAACTGTCAGTTTTTGTCCTTTGCCGTAATAATTTCCTCGGAGGAGCATCTGGACCATAACCAAATAACAAAACCACCTGAAAAATAGGGCAGAGACATTTATCAACAGTGTAAATAAATTACAGAAGACTTGTTGCAAAAGTCGCCTAAATAGTTCAGGCAAGAGCATACTGGGATAATTAATATTGCAGGGTACAGAGACAAATGTGTGGCCATGACCCACCCAAAAGCTGCCACCGGAGCTTGTCCTACAATACATCATAAGTACAATGTTAAATATCAATGAAAATTAACAAGAAAAACAAATGTCATTTCTTCCAAATGTTCTTAAGCCATCTCTATGCTGATCAGCAAAATGATGGGCAGTACAACAGGGAGAAAAAAAAGAAGAAAAGAAGTCACCCTGTGTTGGCCACAAGATTACATGTTCATTACAGAGTCATGACTGAAACAGTAATCTGAATCTAAATATTCATTAACGGGTTTGCTAGCTGCTTACGTGTACATCCTCCATAAAGTGATAGTACAATCATCAAATTCTCAATTGCAGACGTGGACAAACCAACACATGCTGCTATTGTGAACGGATTCCATAGGTATACAAGAGCAGCAATATCTCCAGAGGGAAGATGTTCTGAAAGCAACAATGAAGCTGTCAACAGGGAAGCAGAATTTGCATTGAAGTTTACCATGCTCCACAAGAAAAAATGGAAATAAAATTCTTTGCATCATATTGGCTGTCCATAAGCTAACTGTTATGTAAGTATAGAGGGATGTAGGAGTTAGTTAATTAGTTATGATAGTTATGATTTGGATATATGTAACTGAACCGTTAGAAATAGTAAAAGAAAAGTACAAGAATAGGCCAATGCACCAATTAAGCAGAAGAAGCAGAGTTGAATGTGGCATCTACCATTTAAATAACGAATCACACCAATAAGAAATGCTATTCACCAGAGTATTCTAGCAAGTGATGAAGGCCTATGGATTTTAAACTCGAAGTTGATGACATCTTAAGGCTTTGACCAGCAGCACGAATGAGCATTGCAGTAACCACATCTGCAATCACAAGAACTAAACTGTACCAAGAAATAAATTGATATTGAGTGCCTAACTGAATAAACAGCATGCATAAGGAGAAGAATATGGATGCATAACATGGATTGAGAGAATGGCGATGAGGGTCATTGCTTGACATGATGCTTTTTTTTTTTTTGGTACGAGATGAAACAGAGCATAACATAATAAGTGAAACTATTATTTTTCCACCTAAACAAGTACTAGTCACAAAAATAAATTTAAAGAAAGAAAGAACGCTTCTTGTTTACTCGATGAGTATAATCGCTGACGAATGAAAATCAAGCAATCACGGATCACGATTACTAAAATAGGATATAAACAACTAAACGAATGAAAATCAAGCAATCACGGGTAACGATTACTAAAATAGGATATAAACAACTAAACGAATGTTATAACAATTTAAAGTAGAAGAATGTTACCTGCATAAGAGATGATCCGGTTGTCCTTCAATTCTGCACCACCACCAAGTTTTTGAATGTCATTATACCGTGATTATCTTAAGCAGTACATTTTAAATATCTCAAACGGTATATGCAAAGGAATCGCATATTATAAGTAGAATCAACATCAACTTCAGCAAATAAGAACCTAGCTTCGTTCATATCCTCGGGATCGTATGATTTTGGGGTTTGACAATTATTTTGAATTTGGTTCCGATTAATCGAAGAAATTATAGAGCCAGAAATTGCAAAACAAAGCACGCTTCCAGGAAAATCATATTCTCAAAAATCAAATGGAGAAAATGCTCTGCGAGAGTAGAAGTTGTTTTGGAGTACAAACTAACTTAAGCTGATAGTTTATACCTTCTAACAGTTAGCGGGCCTAGGAGTGTCAGTAACAGAGGAGACCCATGGTACATTGATCCTGATCCCAAAAAAAAAAAAACGGCGAAGAAATCCTAATGTTACAGACACAATGGCGTAGTGAAAGAAGGGAGGAATTCATGAAATTCAAGAAAAATAATTACTGATGAACCTGCATAAGGTGACAATGAAGATTGCTTCAACCAGTATCCCTCGGCCACTGCAAAATGGATAGAATCATGGAACTTAAGCGTAAATTTTGGCGTTTTACGGAGATGTAAACAAGTAGGAACAGTTAGTAGTTCGGTGTAGAGAAGCAAAGAGCATACGACGACGGATGCTGGTGAGAGGAGTGGACACTTCCGGGCGAGAAGAGAGGTTGACGCTTTCAGGAAAGTAAAGAAGGATGAGCCTGAAAATGAGGGAAGCAATCACCCAAATCCAAAACCATCGAACCTTGGCGTTGCCATTGGAGTCTCTCATATTGTCTGCGTCGTGGTGACTGTGACGGTGGCAGCGTCACCAGAGCATCGACGGAGAAGGGACTAGTAGATCGCAAGTCGCGAGCTGGCAGCTTCCGCCGGTCGTGAGGTAGATGGTCCGGGCATCATGGAATTACAGACCAAGAAGTCTGTCGTTTTTTTTTCCTAAAAAAAAAGTCTTTCTTAAGCCCACATAATTTGGGTAAAAGGTCCGCAAATCATGCCAATCAACTTGATGAAGGGATACAATTGGGCCTATTAAGGCCCGTGTTTTTATTGTGAACCGGGGCAAAACCCAAAGAAAAATGCTATATACAACTTGTGTGCTGAAATCACGCAGAAAATATGGTTTCATGCGTCAACTCAGTCAAGAACGACTTGTGAAGCAAGTTTTGAATTCCTGTTGAGAGAAATTCTTATGCTGTCCGATTTTAGAGTCACTTAGCGAATTTAAATTAAATTTGGGAAATAAAAGTTGACTTGCTTTTTCTGCTCAGAAGACTTGAGTTTTGAAATTCATTTTTTTTTATGTATTCTTGTATTACGAATGTAACTCATAATATAACAATATTAAGAATCCTGGATAAACATATTAAGAGACGTTTTTAATTGAGATTAATTATACTGAAATTTACCGTGATGATAATTATTGTATAAAAACATGGCTAAAATAAGCGATATTTGGTGAGGCTTTCCAAGCATATTTGTTTGACTTGTCTAGCAAGTCTCCGAGGGATGAATGGCCTATGAGATTGGAGAACTTCAGCTATTTCCATTGTATTATAAGTATTAACCACAAAACGCCCATTTCAATAATATATTTCACTCAAGCATCTCTCACTTCTTTTTAAGCGCGGCAAGGAAATTCTGCGGTAAAGAGAGATTCAAAGAAGCCACAGTTGCCTTGCAGCTCAATTTCTGTTCCAAACTATTCAGATTCCAATGGCGAGGCCTGATCAGGAAGATGTTGAGACGTTCATGAGCATCACGGGCTTATCTGAAGCAATCGCAGTGCGGAAGCTTGTGGTTAATTTTTCTTTCTTTCTTTTCTTTACGATAACTGTCTTTGAGTTTACTGTTAATTGTGAATTTAAAGAAAGAAGCAACGATAAATTAAGATTACTTTTATTCATGATTGTTCTGTTGGGTACTGATGGGTTATTGTTAGAGTTCTTGTGCATTGAGCAGGGAGCTCAGTTCTTTCATCTGCGCGGCTCAGCCATCGTTTCTTTAATCTTTCTGCATCATCTTTTCAGTTCTTGCATCGAGTTCAAACTCAGTTTTTTTTCTTGCTTAATTGCCTCCTTTGATCTTTTTGCTGATTTAAACTCTTGTTTACTGGGGTACGTTGCAGAGATAATTCATTTTAACTAACCGAAATGTTCTTATTTTCATTCTGGTTAATTCTAGTTCCGCGTTTTCATTAAAATTTTTTTCTTATTTTGCGAAAGTGAATAAAAAAAGTGCTGCATTAACTATTCTTTTGTAATTACTGATTGTTGATCTTTAGTCTCTGGCAATATCTATCAGGCCGTCGATGATGGCTTTCAGTTTTTCATCTCTAATTATGATAGTTTGGTTGGCATTTTGGAATGAATGTTATTTGATAACGACTAACGATGTTGCGAGGACCGATAAGCTTAAAAGGTTTGGCACGCAATCTGATGTCAGTCAGTCTTATGTGACTAAAGTTTCCAGGCATTTATTATTGTTAAGTACTTTGATGATGCTTAATGAATTGATCGTTATATCCCCGGGGGGGGGGGGAGAAACAGTATTTGATCATTCTTCTGCACTTCATTAATTTTAATGTCTTCCTATCAGGAACACGGTGATATTAATGAAGCTCTCTATGCACATTACAATGAAGGAGACAGAAATCTAGCAGCTAGGTGAACTCCATTCCTTTTCATTTATTAATTCGTCATCTTCTCCAGTATCACCAGTTGTATTCTGCGTATTCATGTTTTCATATAATATTGATGTTTTAATTCGTTGCTTCACGACCAGATCCCGTCAAAGATCTCTCTCACACTTATCTCCAGCAGGAAATCACAATCCCTCTTCTTTTCTTGATCCAACTGTTCGTGGAAATGCATATGATGCCCCTTCTGACCCAACGAAGCAGTCGCGATCTGTGACACAACCGGGAGAGGTGAGGGATACTCCCATAGATGTTAGGGATGGGAATCAATATTCTCCTCAAGCTGGCCACTCTCCAATCATTGGAACGGTTCCACCTGCTCATTATTCACATCAGGATGAGCAAAGAAATACAATCTTATCTGATATTTCACTACGAGGAAGTGCTATCCCTACTGTTCTTTCATATGAAAATCAGTCAGATTGCAGCGATGACACAGAAGAACAAATGATCCGTGCTGCCATTGAGGCTTCGAAAAAGGAGTATGAGGTAAAGTAACCAGACTTCAAAATCCACGGACAAATTGTACATCTCTTTCTTGGATTTTTTTTTTATATTTGCGCCATTCTATTGAAATATTAACCTTGGGATTCAACTTGCATTTGCTGCAGGAATTAAGTGAATCTGGAATCTTGGAGGATCCTGAACTTGCCCATGCAATTTCCTTGTCCATTGAGGTGCAGCATACATCTTAAGTTTCTCTTCTTTTTTTCCTTCCATATCATAATTCTCTGAACCTTACATCTTGATTAAGTTGACCCCAATTATGAGCTCAATGATTTAGAGGCTCCTTTTACTTTATCATTCATCAATAATAGAACCCTGATTACTTCTAAACATGAATTAAATCCAGTCAGCTGAACAAGAACAAGCACAGCGCTTGCAAGGAAATATCAAAGAACCAATAGTTGGGCCACCTAAGTCATCTGAGGTGGAACCAGTGAAAATAGCAGGATCAAACGGAAGGTTCTGTCTTTTTCGTCACATTTTATTTTGGCTCTGTTTCATATATGCATCAATCTATGATACTGCACTTGGAAGTGCTCAGCCATCTTGGCAGCATAGGACTCAGTATTTTCGTAAAGAATAGGATGTATTTTAAGATTGTCAAATATAATAAGGGTGTCCATGATCATTTTAGGTTGCAGGCGGGAAGTTCATTCTCCCAAGATGAAGCTGAAGATGCAGAGGAGTGGCCTCTAATTCGGAACAGGTCTAGACCTGTATCTTTGGGCCCCACAGATTTAGTTGAAAGTGCCGATGCCATCATTGAGACTAGCACGCTATCAAGCTCAGGAAATCAGGACAGCAGTAATAGTCCTCAGCACAAGAGAAATGCCAACCATGTGGAGGAGGTATAGTCCTTCTTCTTCTTGTACCCACGCATCTTTAGTCTTACAATCCATCTAGTTACAAAAAACGAGTCTCATTCATCTTGTTCACGTTAAACAAGAGTTGAGCCCAGGCTGAGATTTTACTAACTTACCGTGGCTCCTGCAAGAAAAACTTCCTTGCTCTGTACATGATAAGGAAGGAATGGTGTATCAAATGTCTCTATTACAACTCAATAGATCAAATATCATGTTTGAGTGATTGTATTTTCTGTTAGGAAGCAATATAAAAGTTTATTAACAAATGTTTAAATTTACGGAAAATATAATGACATCATTATATGCAGCAACTGTAAATGCTGAAAGGAGTGTTCAAAGGAACTATAGATAAAATTAAATTAGATGACCGTGTTATAATTGAGCATTATTAACAGAATGATTTTGTCATAGTCGTTCACTCGCTCGTCTTCCAGTACCAAGTTGACGTCAACTCTGTATTACAGATGCAGTTGTATGTTGAATCTTTCATTCTTGTAGCTGTGAATGAGTACTGTTTACCGAGATGTTGTTGCTTATTTCTCTATTCAAAAAAATGTTGCAACAATATTAATGCATCATGATTTCATATGGACAGAAGGAAAATTCCTGCTTTCAAGTTGTTTAAGCTTGCATTCTCTGTATTCTGTGCCAGGAATTGGAAAGACAGTTAGCTGCAAAAGAAGCTGCTCTGCCTCCAGAACCATCCCTGGACGATGAGAATGCTGTGACATTGCTGGTAAAAATGCCAGATGGAAGCCGTCGTGAGCGTCAATTCCTTCGATCTGACAATCTGCAGGTGAAAGGGCCTACTCTAAATTATTCTCTATTTGTCCATCCCCTAAGTGCATTTACATTGATCCTGCTTATGGTTTTTTTTTTTTTTCCTCAGTCTTTTTTCGACTTCATAGATATTGCTAGGGTGATGAAACCTGGCACTTATAGATTGGTGAGTAAACTCCAGAGCTTTTCAGTTTTATCAGTCCAGCTCTGAGTCATTTTTTATTTATTGAATATGATTAGCTGTATAGTGAGAAAAAAAACTCTTGGGACATTAAATGTTATTCTTTGAACAGGTGAGACATCATCCTCGACGTGCATTTAGTGATGAAGAAGGTGCATTGACTCTGAATGAAGCTGGTCTGACAAGCAAGCAAGAAGCCTTGTTTTTGGAGTTAATCTAGTGTCCTGACTCCAGATTTCTGGAAAGCAATGAATTGGAGCTTGTTAAAAATACGAACTAAAGCCCACACCAGATTTGGGTTTGTACTATCTGGATTACCTGTATATTTTCAGCCATTCAAAATCAACCACCTAGCACGGAACCATCGCAGTTCTTTACGGGAATTGACTAATTCTTCGCGGGGAATGCTTTGTATTGTGCATACAGATACAGTGGCATGGGATTGTGATGCGAGTCATCAGTTTTATGATTTCGGAAATTGCAAGATCCTTTATCATCTTTATGTCTCCTGCCCTTTTCCATTCTCAATATCACTCGCAGGCTCCCTCAAGAAAAGACAATAAAATCGTTTATTTTAAAATTAAGGTTTTAGCCTAATAGATTCAATTGAAAATTCGAAAACTTGAGATGGAGATCAGTTAAACGTAAGAGATGTGAGGAATCAGATTCGAACTTGGATTAGATTAAAAATCTTTCACTTCGGAGATTATGGGAATATAATTTTACAATAACCAATCATATTACCTCTAATGTTTAATATAATGACTTGATAACTAATTTGTAAATATTAAAATAATTAATTAAGTTAGTTATTTTTTTAAAATATTATTGTTAATCATGAGCATTAAAATCATTCTTACAATCACCATAGAGATTATCCAGGAGTAAAATAAATAACTAATTTTATTAATTTTATTAATCTATTTAAATTAATTAATTAAATTTTATATTAAAGATCAGAAATAGCATTAGTTAAGGGTAAATTCTACAAGTTTGTCAAGTGGCTTTGCATTGGAGTAAACCTCCACAGTCATCAGTTCAGTTTCACAGTTTTTATTATATTTTCTCACACATTCTTTTTTATCTTTTTATTTATTATAAGGACATATTTAAAATAAAAATCTATTTTTAATCCATTTATTATGTTTAACTAATTTTAACTAATTACTAGTTATTCATGAATTAGTTATTTAAAATTTATAATAAATACCGGAGGCGTTACTACGCTGTGCAAGCGATAAGTGCTGAAACTTTCCTAGTCAAAATAATAGCCGTGTTTATAACTACTCAATGCATCTTTCCTTCTTTCTTTCTTTCTTTCTTTTTGCCATGGCACCAATGCATATTTCACTTTAATTGAAAAAAAAAGACTCCATTTGATATTATCTATAAGTTAATTTCACCATTTTTCCATGTCAACATAAGATAGGGATTCACCGGGAAAAAAACATAAAATAGGGATAAAAAAGTAATAATAAATAATCAATGTAAGTCTGATAAAAAAAAAATGATCATAATTTATAGAACTCTTCCTCCAAATGTCTTATAAATGACATTAAAAAAGTATGAATCTCCAAGTCGGCGGAAAATAAAATTATCTTATAATTTGAACACGTATTAAAATAAAAGAAAACAATTTACTAGATTTAATGATTTGTTGATTTAAAAGGTGACATAATATGGAAAAAAACTTCTACATTAAAATATATAGGAACCTTCTTGTAATCAATAGGTAAGGAGTATTCGTTTGTTTAGCGTTATTTGTTAAGATGAGACATGATGAGGACCACTCAACTTGAAATTAACTATTAATTCAATCATCTCTTGGGGAGTGAGCTCAAAATCATATTTATTAGTGAAAAATTGTATGCATACTCGTAGTTTCTTTTTTTTTCCTGCCATAATTTAATTACGTGGCATGTGATGTTGATTATATTTTGGCAAAGAAAATAGTTTGTTCAAACCCCACCCGTTTTGTGTCTTCAACTGTATTAATTAGGTGTTATTCGGTCCCAATTAAAAACGAACAAAAGAATTAGATTAGGTGCTATAGCATAAATTAAAAAAGTCCCTCTGATTATTACTCGTATTTGTTAAGGAATAATATCACAATTATTATATATACTCGTATAACTGAAACAATGGTGTTTAACGGCTGATCTCCATAGGAACACATGAAACAATATAATTGGATCATTAAGTTATTTTATTGAATCAATAATTAAGACAGAGACTTGTTCAATATGGCATTATTTTTCCTGCTATATATGTATGCGCGCGTGGTTGTTGGATCAAACTTATTTTTAATACTCACTTAAGGCAACAAACCAAATTTTGAACAAGAGAATAATATAAGACTATATATATTTAGACAACAAACTTGCATAAATTAAAGAAATTGATTCAATTAATTATTCATAATAAATAATATATTATAACACCCCTATCAATTATATGCATTAAAGTTATGCTTTACGAAAACACTTTAACATATGTAATATAATCACCATAGAAATTACCTTAAAACAAAATTGATAAATATGAAAAATAAAGTAGATTGAGATTCTACATTTAGAATTAAATTAAATATCTAATTAACTCTTATATTAGGAACTAATTAAAGTTGTTACTATTACATATATATATATAAAGTCATGGAAGAAAATTCTGTTCCTGAAATAGTTTCATTGGGCAGGGAAGCGCACGTAGATTCCCCAAACAAAGACTTGCTTTATCTCGGACGACATTCATATTGCAGTCAACTCAATAATAATCCGAAGCCAATGTATATGCAATACTACCTCTGGTCTTAATTATAAGAACCAGTTGACTAATTTAAAAAATTAAAGAAAGTAAGTCGAGTTACTTATTTGTCATAAATAGGTGTTGTCTTTCCTAAAATATCATTGATAATCAAGTGTATTGACTAGAACTATCATTGTTAGAATGGCTATTTTGAAAAAAAAATATATAAATATGAGAGACAAACTATATTAGGGTCTTATATTTAGCACCAAAATAAAAATCAAAGAATGTCTTATATTAAGACCGGAGATAGTAATATAATAAATCAAGTGGAATGGCAAGTGTCCAAACACACATAATAATAATAATAAAAAGGCCGCTTTTCAAATATATAATAATAATATATCATGGTTGGCAAAAAAAAATAATAATATATTATTATAGTTCATGAGGGGACTTTATTCGAGATCTAGTCAGCTAAGGGGGTCTTCCTTATCCATATTGAGTGGATGGGCTATTTGGGATCCCACACGTGTCACGCGCTGGCACAAACAACAAATACAAGGTCGACATGTAATGAGGCTGACTCATCACCACGTTTGAGCTGGCTCTCCGTCGTTTTCATTTTCTCATTGGCTTCAGGTTTCCGTGCTAAGCCGCCCCTTAATCACCACACTATTAATTACTCCGATTTCCATTTAATTGGGGACCCTTCAACAAAATTCCCTCTAATTTTATTTCATGATAAAAAAAAATTGTGGGCGATAATGAAATCCGAGTCCTTATAATTTTTCTAATTAATTATGTAATAACAATATAATAGATGCTTCCCATTCGCAAACGACATGCGGATTGATTGATTAATGTACAGCCTTACAGGTCATGAAAATGCCCAGGCTGTAAAGCCTAAATTATTATTTTTAATGAAGAAAAAGCGTAAATTATTTTTGTTCCTTTTTCTCTCTCTTTTATTTTTTAAATCCTCACACGTACGTCTCGGTCTACGTGGATTATTGACTTTTATGGTGGATAATAGTAAATGGTAAAACGACCGTGACACAGATAAAATAATAACGTATGACAGAACTTTCAATAACAATTGAAAATGTAAATAATTGAGGAGGTCTCAATCGAGGTAGAATAAAAGTAAATCAAGCACTTGCTTACATTACTAAAGTATATTCAATTTTATCTTATTGGAACTTTGACTTATATATGCATGCATGCATGTGCGAGTTTCCAGCAGCATCCGTTCCCCCTCCTCCCTAAATGATAGCCATCAATTGCATATGTCGGTTTATCGAATGTGTGATTTTACAAGGTATTATTGTTGTTGTTTCAGAATGGATAAGCTGGAAATAAATGGATAACCAGACCAAAAACAAAATGATGATGGACGTTGACAAAATTAACAAGATGGCGTAGAGTAGATTAATATTAATATTAATGTGAAAATGAAACCAAACTTTTTAACATATATAATAAAAGGCTCGTATTCTACAATCTTATGCCTTTGTGATCGAAGGTGTCATTTCCATCTTTAATTTATCATTTATGTTTATTAGTTTGCGTGGGAGGAATAATCTTAGAGTGCATGGAAAAGCCCTTTATTCAATGACCGCATATTTCATAATTATGTGATCATGAAATTTAATACTCCACCTAATTAATTATTTGAGTAGATTAATGTTAATTAAATTGGTTAATACGATATTTTTTCTAAAATATTTTAAATATTTTTCTTAATTTTCTCCTCCGTTTATTATGATTATTATTAAGAAAATTAATAAGATATTTATCATTTATGTTTATTAGTTTGCGTGGGAGGAATAATCTTTAGAGTGCATGGAAAAGCCCTTTATTCAATGACCGCATATTTCATAATTATGTGATCATGAAATTTAATACTCCACCTAATTAATTATTTGAGTAGATTAATGTTAATTAATTGGTTAATACGATATTTTTTTTCTAAACTATTCTAAATATCTTTCTAATTTTTCCTCTCCCTCCCGTTTCCTACTTATTATTATTAAGAAAATTAATAAGGTTAATTTGAAAAAAATTGATAAATATGTAAAATAAGTATTATATGTAGATTAGCATTAACTCTTGAATTAGATCTTATATTAGATAGAGAAAGAGCACAGTCTTAGACTTTGCTCGATGCTGATAAAATGTTATGTTGAGGGGAATTAAAAATAGTAATTATCTATGCCGCCAAAACAGGAATGCACTCTTAACAAACGATGGCATGAATACAGATAAAATGAGTCTGGCCAATATAAAAATACAGATAAAATGAGGGATGTATTAGTAACAACGCTAATATAACAGTAGAAAATAATTACATGGTCACAAAAACTGGGAACGGGTACAACATGAAGCATTTGGTCGCATGACACGTGTAGAGAGAGAATAAATTAACAAAAAGATAAAATGGATAAAACGTCAAAGCTGTTAATTATTGTTAAACCTAAGGATAAATAATCCTTTCTCCCTCCCTGAGGACTGTGGGGCTGTGGGCCATCACCCTGCTTTAATAATATACAGTCATAATCCTCCTCGTCATCGTCGTTATCTACTTTTCTCCCAAAGAGAACGAGCTGTCGGGTTCGCTTTCTCAGGAAACATACCAACAAATTCCACCTCCCGTGGATACGCCTACATCTATAAGAACCCGCGTTTTCAACATTTTCACCTCCCTCTCCCTGCGCCAAGCGGATTTCTTCTAAGCTTTCAAATATTCCGGTCTCTGTCTTTCTGTTTCTCTCTTCTTTGAGATGGGGATTGGATCTTCTTCCTTGCAAGGAGAACGATGTTGATGGCACTAAGGTACCTATACTACCATCTTGCTAGTCTTTTCGGTATTGAGAAACACTGAAAATGTGAAAGAAACTGGCGTTTTAGATTTTCTTGGAGGTCTCGAACTTGAAGAGGCTTAGATCTTGAAACTTAGAATTGGGGCTGAAAGAAAGGGAAAGGACTCTGCCTGCCTTTTTAGTGGAACGGGGTTATCAAATTTATGAAGGGACTGCAAACTTTATTTGTGTAGTCTCTCGAGCGCATTGATGTGTCGCTTATCTGCTGTATTAGTTTCTGTAGCTCCACATATTTTCTTATCTTAGTCATAAACTCATACTACAACAGAATAAACTAATTTATTATGGGGGTCAGCGGGTAATGCTCTGTATTTATTTTTCCTTCTCCAGTATACTCTGAGCCAGCAATTAAGCAAAGCAGTTCATGATATTTGGTGTGTTCAAACTCCCTTCTGACGATATGTGGGTTTTTGCAGGAAGTTTGGCTGGATAAAGACACGGGTAAACTTTGTTTGGCCATGTCATCAAAGGGACTATCAATAACCGGGATTGATGATCGGAGATATTGGAATCATATTCAAACTGAAGAATCTAGGTGAGATTCTTCGCTTCCATCTAGCATCGCGCATGTAGAAATTTCACAGAAATGGGAATAGCGTAAAAAAATTTAACTCTCTTATTGAGGAGGATATTCTCTATAGCATTAAGGATAATTAGTTGTTTTTCTATTAGTTGTTTTCTTATGTTAATGTTTTCATGTTCTTTTTCTATTCTTTTGCTGTCGTTTAATGATTTTTGATTAAATAAGCCTGGGATATATGCTATCTAATATACCCCAGATAAGTTATACTTTGGCGGCTATACTGATCCTTTTCTTTGATAACTTTTAATTCTTTCGCCTTCGAAGAATTTGCATCTCCTAGCACGGTTTTGCTCTCAGTTTTGTCAGCACTCACTAATCAGAGCCTCTAATTCTCCATGCCATAGTGCTATATGAGTCTCTTGATGCCCTTGAAAGAAAGTTTGTTGAAATTTTCATTTCTTTTCAATCTTAAGGTGGAAGTCAATGTTGAAATTAAACGTCTGGAGTTAAAAGCTACTGTTCCTGACCAAAAAGGCTTAATTGCAAAGGGGGGAAAAAAAAGGTTAAATGCTCTCTGTACGCAATAAGTTAATCTAACAAAAAAAATCCTATGAAACGGGAATAAATGGATCCATTTAAGTGTTGTAATTAACCCATTCTTGTTTGCACTGCGTGCAGATTCAATACAGTGGCATATCTACAGCAAATTTGGTGGTTTGAGGCTGATGGGGAAGTTGATTTCCCATTTCCAGAAGGGACGTACAGCCTCTATTTCAGAATCCATCTAGGGCGACCCTCCAGGAGATTTGGGCGACGTGTATGCAATAATGAGAATGTTCATGGGTGGGACATTAAGCCCGTACGATTACAGCTGTGGAGTTCAGATGGGCAGTACGCTAGCTCTCAGTGTTTTTTGGAAGGATCCGGCAAATGGAGTTATTACCATGCAGGCGATTTTGTGGTTGGCAATGGCCACACACCAACCAAAATCAAGTTCTCCCTCACTCAAATTGATTGTACTCATACCAAAGGTGGTCTATGTTTAGATTCTGTGCTTATATACCCAACAGAGTCCAGAAAGCTTAAACCATTTTTTAATTCAAATTCCTCTTAACCTGTGTGGGGCAGGAATCAAAATGTATAATCTGTATTATATATCATAGGATGAGGGTGCGGTGTGTAGAGAATTAGAGAGAATTGAGTTTTTTTTTTTTTTTTGTGAGGTCTATTAGGCTATAGTATGATGAGGCAATGTGTATATGTAATTATTTTCCTTCTCCGAGATGATTATTTCTGTTGCTCAATTTTCTTGGGTATTGTGATGAGGCATTATTCCAATGAAGCTTTTTTTTTTTCCCCGCCATTTTGCTTGGATCAGGAACTGTTTTCTTTCTGAAGTTACTTTTATCATGAAATGTAGTGCCAGGGCTTTTTCCATGCGATAGAAGCGTTTCTGTTGGGAAGAAAAAACGAGAAGTGTTTCTTACCTCTAAATAAAAGTCGTGCATGAGAATCTCCAAACCACTTTGAAAAAGTATTTTTACATACATACTTATCTCAAGTCTCATAAAATCATTCCTAAGAAGTTAATCTAAGAATTTCTTTAAAATGGCCTAAGAAAAATTTAGTATTGGCCAACCTAGAAATTAATTGAAGATAATAATTTTGTGAAAACAAAAAAACTGATGTTCTGTAAATGATGCGATGGGATCATATGGCAAAATTTATATCAGGGTTGATAGGATTCCTCCTATTATTCACACTGACTAAGGCAGTCGTATGCATTGTACATCTGCTGCCAGGGCTAAACAAACTGCCTAGAATGGGTCCAGTTGCCCATCAGGATGGGGTCCAGTCTGAGCATGTCAGACTCCGCGTCAGTCTGTCTAGTGGACAGCCTGGCACAAGACCAGCGAGGTTGGTCTTCTCGGGCACTCCACTCTCCATTCTGCACATAATAATGGCTACTAATAAAGTTTCGATCTACTTACAGAGGTTAGTTTTTGATGGCGACCTAAAGTTTGCATCTCACTAAAGGAAATGGTCACATTTACCATTCAACACTACTTGGAATAAAATTATCTTCAATAAAATGATACCTCTACCTACAAAAAAAAACTGATAGGTTAGTAAAAAGACTAATCTCTTATAATATGATAAACCAAGATTTAAACTCCTGTTGTAAAAGGTACCCAAATTTAATCCATGACAATACTAATTGATCTTAATTATAAAAAAAAACCTATGCATAAGGGGAAAAAAAACCAACCCAAGCCCACATGTATAGATTTTTTTTTTTGGCCAACCACGTGTGGAATTTAAATACAAATGTAAAGGCTCTTACAAAAAAAAAACCAATAGGTCTAATAAAAAAAACTAATCCCTTATAATGTGATAAATTAAGATTTAAACTACTGTTGTAAAAGGTACCAAAATTTAATACATGACAGTACTAATTGATCTTAATATAAAAAAAAATCTATGCATAAGGAGAAAAAAAAAACCAACCCAAGCCCACATGTATGGATTGTTTTTTTGGCCAACCACGTGTGGAATTTAAATACAAATGTAAAGGCTCTTAAAAAAATAGGACAGAACAGGAGTCGCAGAAGAGACCCGAACTTGATATGCTTTTGAGATTCTCCTATTTGTTTACTAGAGAGAAGTTGGTGCCTAGATTCTAGTCCTGTTTCTCATGTAAACTCTTCCCACACTTCAAGAATATATACTGATCAAAATAGGCACGAAGCCATAACGAGTAACGAGGGAATCAGAAAAAGAAAGAACTAAATTTATAACCAATTGCCTGCACTTTCATCATCCGCCTCCTTGTGGTAACAAAGTGGTAGCTGATCAAAGCAAAATAACATATTAATGTCATAAGTGAATCCAACTAACGCATCTGCTAGCTTTAGCTTTCTTATATAGTACTCTTTCGATCTTTAATATAAGACCCATTTAACTAATTTGATTAGATTAAGGAAGTTAGGTAAGTTAGTTGATTATAAGAAAAGTGACACATTTTTCCTAAAACACCATAATCTTCTTTCTTAATACCCCATCTTCCTCTTCTACTACTTGATATGGTTGAGGGAGTATCCATAGGGGTAATTTAGAGAAATTGATTTAGAAAAATATGATAAATGGATCTTATATTTGGACCAAAACCAACTCAAGAATTGAGTCATATATTAAAGATAAGAGAAGTACAAAAATAAGGTCAATCTCCCACTCTGTTGCCATGAGCCTTTTGGTTTCTTCGATAACCTCATGAACACCCTCTTCCCACGCTTTCTTAATCCCAACAAAACCAGAATCTCAACAAGATTCTGGGTTGAGATTCTGGCTTCACTAACTGCGTTGCATGAGTTTTCCCGTTGTCTTTCGAGAATTGAATGATGAACGCAGGAGAGCTATGAATTGATACAAGGATCAAGAGAATGTGCAGAAGAGACCAACTACCACTTGATCTGTACTCCGTCCTTTATTATAAGATCTAATTTTTTGAACAGATTTGTCTCTTTTTATAAGATTTTTTTTAGATTTGTCTGAATATTTAATGCATTGTTACCTATTTTACTCATAATTTAATGTATTTAAAACATTTTTTTCTTTATTTATCTTACTATTACTCTCTCACATCTACCCATGTTAATTACATTTGTTATATATTAATTACTTTTAATTAATTTTAATTATTTTCTTAAATCACATAATTTAGTTAAAAAGATTTTATAATAAGAGATAGAGTAATAATAGCATGCACCAAAACAACCAAAAAAAACGGCCGCCAGCGAAGGGCTGAACGCATTTTTAATTCTCTATTCAATGCTTGATTTGAAATATTAATTGCTCCATGTGGCTTACTTGACTTGCCTGAAACTTTCTCTATCTTCTGCCGTCCTTTCCATCGGTTAACTGCAATAAATCTTTGCTCGTTAAATAAAATAAATGAATGTTCGGTTGAGAAAATACTAGCTGTTAGAAGGTTAATAATTATCTTTTTCCCGAAAAAATTAAAATTCCAAGTGACATACTCTGTTTGTTGTAACAACTAAATACTACTCCTCCGGTTCTTAATATAAGACCTATTTAACTAATTTGATTAGATTAAGGAAGTTAGGTAAATTAGTTAATTATAAGAAAAGTGACACATTTTTCCTAAAACACTATAATTATCTTTCTTAATACCCCCTCTCCCTCTTCTATTTGATTATGGTTGAGGGAGTATCCATAGGGGTAATTTAGAGAAAATTGAAAAATATGAGAAATGGGTCTTATATTTAGGACCAAAACCAACTTAAGAATTGAGTCCTATATTAAGGACAGGAGGAGTACATGTTATTCTTACATAAAGAAAATGTTTACACATGATGTATGGACCTTGAAACGAGTTATATTGTTTTTTTTTTTAATTTTCAGCGAGTTATATTGCCTTTTTTAGGAAAAAATAGTATTTCTTAAAATATAAAAGTTTTTTGAATTGAACCCAAATCTTGAATTTACATTAATTCTCTTGCAAGTTTATTAATTCCATATGCTAAAATTTTATATTGAATATTAAATTAAAATACTGTTATTAACGAAGAAATGACAGGCCATAAAAGGATAGGGATGTAATTTCAGAACTATTCGACCAAGAAAGATCCGACTTCAGTTTTAATACCGATGACCACATGAAACAGTTGAGGCTGTTGTGTTGACGGCACTGAAATTCTTGGGGAGATCGAATTGGTCGCAGCTCGAAATCTGAAAGGCAGGGCCATGGGCATGGAGATGGACATGGATGCCATGGCGGGTGCGATAGGAGTTTCCGTCCCTGTACTTCGCTTTCTTCTCTGTTTCGTGGCCACTATTCCCGTCAGCTTCCTTGCGCGATTCGTTCCCGGTTCACTTCCCAAGCACCTTTACTCCGCCGTAACCGGCGCTCTTCTCTCCTACGTTTCGTTTGGCTTCTCTTCCAATCTTCATTTCTTGGTTCCTATGTTAGCCGGCTACGCTTCCATGATTCTTTGTCGCCCTCGATGTGGAATCATCACATTCTTTTTGGGATTTGCTTACCTCATTGGTTGGTATGTCAGGGGTTTTAACTTCTAATCCCCCTTTATGTTTATTTAAAAATAATGGTACTAGTTTCCTTTAAACTAGATTTTCTCTCTGTGAAGGTCAACTGGGTATCGGAATTTTGAGCAATTCGGTGTCAATTGTTAAGTCTCTGATCTGCTTTCGTCGTTGTCATTGTTTCATTTGCTTATTTAAGTATTAAATTATGTGGTTTAGAATGCCTGTGCGTTGATTGATTAATTTCATGCACGCCCTTAACAATCTCCTTCAAAGTTTTGACTGTTGCTTTGTGTTTGTGTAGCCATGTATATTACATGAGTGGAGACTTGTGGAAGGAGGGTGGTATAGATGCTACCGGTGAGCGTTAATTCATCATTTTCGATAAATAAATCAGGAGTTTTTTTAATTATTGTTCAAGCATTAACTTAGCGTGAATTTTTCTTCTTGGAAAAGGCGCCTTGATGGTGTTGACACTGAAGGTCATCTCGTGTGCAATAAACTATAATGACGGGTTGTTGAAAGAGGAAGGTTTGCGTGAGGCACAGAAGAAAAACCGGCTGATTAAACTGCCTTCATTGATTGAATACTTCGGGTATTGCCTCTGCTGTGGGAGTCACTTTGCTGGGCCAGTTTTTGAAATGAAGGATTATCTAGATTGGGCTGAAGGAAAAGGGGTACGTTGATTCAAAATTTTCTTTTCATACACATAATACAGTATCTAATCCTCTGGGTTAAACATAGGACTTCCAATTTACACTTCCTTCAATCAACTGTTGTACCATTCCCGAGGAAAAAGTGCGTCCCTTTAACATTTGTTATGCTGATTACTTCTGCCTTGTGATATTTGGTATTAAACTTCTTGTCTTAATTGTTTGTAGCTTTGGAGCACATCAGCGAAAGGGCCATCACCATATGGAGCAACCATTCGAGCTTTTCTACAAGCTGGTTTTTGCATGGCCATGTATCTGTACCTGGTTCCTCATTTTCCTCTGTCCAGGTTTACTGAACCCATATATCAGGAATGGGGTTTCTGGAAACGGTTGGGATACCAGTATATGTCTGGTCTTACAGCACGATGGAAATATTATTTCATTTGGTCAATCTCTGAGGCTTCAGTTATTGTTTCTGGCCTTGGCTTCAGTGGCTGGACAGAATCCTCTCCTCCAAAGCCACGTTGGGATCGGGCCAAAAATGTGCACATATTAGGTGTTGAGTTTGCAAAGAGTGCTGTTGTGATACCACTTGTGTGGAATATACAAGTCAGCACCTGGCTTCGTCATTGTGAGTTTACTGCTTATGCGTTTTGATACTTTCCTCCCTTAGCCATCTTAGTAGTTTGCTGACATCTCTTCAATTGACAAATGAACTTTATTTAGGGCCCTGGCTGCTTACTTTTAAGTTTGGACTTCCAGCAGCAACAAGGCCATAAGTATTTGCATATTGTGCCTGTTTGGTTATTAATTATTCTTAATTAGTTAGATCAACATTTTGTGACATCATAATTAAATAACTTGTAATCTTGAATTTAACTTATAATTTTACTACAAGCGGTAGAATCATCGAGCGCTGGACATCACTTTTTTCCATGAAGTGTTAATGTTACTAATGTTTGGGTTTTTTTAGATGTCTATGATAGGCTTGTTCAGAAGGGGAAGAAAGCTGGCTTCTTTCAGTTACTCGCCACACAAACTGTCAGCGCTGTCTGGCATGTAAGTTCAATTTTTGTTTTGCTTTAAGTTAGATATTTGTTTTGTACTCTGTGACTTGTGTCTGCATCTTGTATTGTTATTCCTTCGAGCTCCTGTTAGAATTAAAAAGGCAATTCAGTTTGTTTTCCTGATGTGGGGGCGATGATTGGAGTCAATACAATGAATTTTTCCTTATGCATTTTAGCTGCTGCTCTTGTAGGTCTTGCTAATGAATGTGTAGTTGCAAATGAGTAAATAGTTGGTTATTGGACTTGTTACCCAGGGTCTATACCTTGTAAGAGATGATGTAATTTGTAACTATAGCTATAAACTTAATCAGTATTCAACTATTTATTGTTCAACTGAAAACATGGATCCTTAAAATTTGATCTATGAATAAGTTTTGCATTAAAAAGCTTTCGTATTTACATTTTGATGTTATCTAATGCATGTTTTGTATGTGATGCAATGTATCTATTTCGTGTGTCTTTGTTGATATTTGCTTCAACCTTGCGTACTATCCCACTCACAGCTGGCCGTTGAACATAATATTTTCTTGACATGAAATCACAAATCACAAAGACAACCTTTGGCTTTGAAATGCATAAGAAAAGTGATTGCTGAAACATGAGGCACACTAGCAACCTCATGAAAGCTGCCCGGAACAACTTTTTCAGTCCTGCAACATTTTGATACTGTTTAATTCATGCTATGAACCATGAGGTCTCAAGTCAGGTGTTTCTCTTATCATTTTGACTTCCCTTTTACAGGGACTCTACCCTGGGTACATCATATTCTTTGTTCAATCAGCTTTGATGATTGCTGGGTCCAGAGGTATGCAGTGGATTACATTTATTTGCTATTTTTTGGTTCATATAATTAACTTTTTCTTGTCTTGATTTGTTCTCTTGGAGCAGTCATATACAGGTGGCAGCAATCTGTTGCTCCAGCAGTGGGTAATGTCTTATCGTTTATGAATTTTCTGTACACACTACTGGTTCTTAACTACTCCTGTGTTGGCTTCATGGTTCGTCTTCCCTCCCTCTCTCTCTCATAAACATGCTTGAGTGTTGTATCCTCTCGCAAACAAGCTAATGCTTCTGCCATTTGTGTGGAATAGGTATTAAGTCTGCATGAAACACTGGCCTCATACGGAAGCGTGTATTATATTGGAACTATTCTTCCCATTGTATTGATTCTTTGTGATTACATAATCAAACCTGGGAAGCCTGTCAGATCCAAAGCTCGGAAGGCTGAGTAAGATAGACAATGCATTGTCTATTCCCCGAAAATTTTAAAATCATTAGGATATTTCACAGTTTCTGCGATTTTTTTTCTTGATGAATGATGATTATAACAGGTTCTTTGGCCTTGGTCCTCTTGGAAGTAGCTGCTTTACCATTAAATTGTATCTTATTGCAGCATTGCTTATAAACTGTTTTTTTTCCCCCTTTGTAAAAGCATGTGTTGAAGAAAATGATTCGGAACTACTCTTTGGCTCAAATTGTTTCCCCAGTGATCTGAGAAATTTTAAAAGCACCCTTTCTCAGATTAGTTATGTTTTCTTACTCAAAGAACTAGAACTTGAGCATGATAAGGAGACACACTGTCCTTTTTATCCGCTTAATCTGTGGTTTGACTACTAATTTTTGGGATCTTCTCTCATATGACGAGGATCAATTACATCACATTCTTGTGGGTAGGATTTTTAACGGAGGAACCATTAGGCCAGCCTTTCTCTCGTATAATCTTGGGTAATTTTTTTTTTCTGTGATAATAATTATCAGAATGTTAGATGCTGCACAAAATATCATTCATAATAACTTTGTGAGGTAATCCTCTAATACTTTTTATAAGAGATTTTTTTGTTTGTTTTAGTTACTTGTTTTATTATGTAGAGAGAAAGAAGGCTTATAACTAGTGCTACCTTTGGTCCTAATTATAAGAGTTAGTTGACTAATTTGAAAAAAAATAAGGAAAGAAGTTAGTTAGTTATTTGTAATAAATAGGTATTGTCTTTCCTAAAATATCTTTACTAATCAAGTGTATTGGCTAAAAATATAATTATTAGAAGGACTATTTTGAAAAAAATTGAGTAAATATGAGAGACGAAATGGATTGAGGTTTAGTCAGGTCTTATATTAAGGATCAGAGGTAATATTAGTCTATTAATATGTGCCCTTCTAATTCCAAAAGAGAGAGAGAGAGAGTGAAAAGATTTTGTAAATTAAACAAACTTTTAAATAGTAATTTTGATTGAAGGTACTTTTGAAATTATAAAATAATTAATTAATTTTAACGAACTTCTTTAATTTATGTAAAATTGTTAATAGGTGCATATAAATAAAATTAGGGAGAGTAACTTTTAGTGAGGAAGGGTAATGTTAAAAAAAGATTAAAAATAGTTACACATTTAATAAAGTAACTAATTTTAGTTAGCTTTTTTTCCCAGCTCTACATGAAAGTTGTTAAAAGTATGTTATAAAAAGGGATTGGAAGAAGCATTTTATTAAAAGGTTGTTGTAATATTTTTCTAATTACTTTTACCATACCTAATCATCACATAAATCCGTCAGAGCATGTATAGACAAAAGTGGCAGAAGCATTGTCAGAAGCACTCCACCGCTCCAAGTGTCCTTTTTTGGCTAGGTATATATGAGGAAGAGGAAGCCAAGAAATCCTATGTTACTTCTCCGGTTCTTAATATATGATCTAATTTTTGAGTTGGTTTTTGTTCTAAATATAAGATCCATTTATCATATTTATTAATTTTTTCTAAATTATCCTCATGGATATTCCCTCAACCATAATCAAGTAGAAGAGGGAGAAGGGGTATTAAGAAAGATGATTATGGTATTTTAGGAAAAATGTATCACTTTTCTTATAATTAACTAACTTACCTATCTTCCTTAATCTAATTAGATTAGTTAAATAGATTTTATATTAAAAACCAGAAGAGTACTAGTTAATTAGGGTTAAAACACTAGTTGGTGAAAAATCTTGACAAACACATGAAAGTTAAAACGTCCATGTTGCTGGTAAATGAAGTGATGGCCAGCAGTCGTTAGGGGACGAAGAAGATTTAATTGGCTAAATAACAATAAAGAAACTCCCAAAAAGTAATAAAGGGTAGCATCAAAAAATAAAGATCCCAGTTCCCTTGAGCACACAGCTGCTTTCACGATCATGCATGACAAACTAACTGTACAATTTTCTTCATAAAAAATTCACAATAACCAAATTCCCATATTTTTTAATTAAAAAAAAACTTAACTATCACAGCTTGACTCTATATTTAAGATTAAGTAGGGTTTAAAAACTTTCTCCTAGGAAGAATAGAACACAGTAATTGCAGATTTGGGGTGGATACCAAAATTACTAAATACCATAATTCTTTTTTTTTGGTCCAATACTAAATACCATAATTCGGTGAGCTACCATCTGCAACAAAACTGGCAACTGACCCCAGATTTTCCTGCTGAGTCTCTGTTTTCGGTTCATTCCACAGCTTAGCCTTCGTGTTCTTCCAGTTCCAGAAAACTTCCATTTCGTCGTTTTAGCTGCTTCTTATTGTTACATTTAGCAATAATAGCCTTCATACAGTTCTTCATGGCCTGTTTTGTCCTGCACATTAAAAACAAAAACTGCCCCATTTTATTACACATTATTTATTTATTTATCTGTCTCTTCCCTATTATTTTTCCCTTGTACGTTTCCAATTGTCATTTTACCTTTCCCCCACTCTTTATATGAACAGGAAGATTCTTCTTCTCGTTTACTCTCTTTTCTGTCCATTCATTTTCTCTCTCTTTCTTTTCTCCTTGTCTACTCCGTTTCTCTGCTTCTGGAGATCTCTGTGCTCTGTTTCCCATCCACGAAAGATTTTCTTTTTCAATACATGCATGACCCTCTCCTTCCACCGACAGTTATTCTGAATAATTAAACCAAGAAATGTCTTTCTCTGATGAATCTTACACTGATTTTCGTCACGTTCTTCTTTCGATCGAGCTTTCCTCGAATATTATTGTATTATATTCCATGATGTAGGAACTTTTGAGCACGTGGAGGTTCTTTCTTCTCCCTCAGGTTTCCTCCAGTTCAAGCGAAGGACCTCTTCAGACTTGGATTCTGTTCTGAGATTACTTAGCCAAATCATCGTTTCATTGTTTAAAGGCCTTGGCTTGGAGAATAATCCAGATGAAATCTACGATTAACGGAATGTTTTCTCGGTCCAAAAAGAGTAACGTCGGCGATGAGATAAACCGCTTAAAGCCGGCTGAATGGGAATTAAGGCCTGGAGGAATGTTGGTCCAGAAACGTAATTCAGATGAGAACCAAAACCCCGTTTCAGGTTCCACTTCCTCCATTAAAATCAGAGTGAAGTTTGGCTCAACCTATCAAGAAATTCGGATAAGTTCTCAAGCAAGTTTTGGTAAATGCAACTCTTGAAACTTTGAAATTTTCTTTCCTTTCCTGGGACTACTTTAACTGTAAGTTGATGGGCGCAGGGGAATTGAAGAAAATGTTGGCAGAGCCAACGGGATTGCATCCCCAGGATCAAAAGATATTCTTCAAGAGAAAGGAGAGAGATTCTAAATCATATCTGGACGAAGTGAAAGTAAAAGATGGATCAAAAATGGAGGTTGTTGAGGACATTGAGAGCAGAGAGCGGAGGGCGCTGGAGACGTTAAAACTCTCAAAGAAGAACAAGAGTTCAAAAGCCTTGAACGAAATCATACTGGACATTGACAAATACGCCAGAGAGGTAATTAATTCACTTGTTATTTCCCGACATATTAATATGCTATGACTTATGATGATGGTTCTCTTACACGTAGAAAATCTGAGTAGGTTTCAGCTTTGGAAGCATCATCTTCTAAAGGTGAGATTATAGCAGAGATGGATGTGGACAACTTGATCGACAGTTTGATGAGAATATTGATAAAATTGGATGAAGTTGTAGCAGCTGAAGGAGATCTGAAATTGCAGAGAAAAGAACAGGTAAGCAAATCAATCAATTAGTTATTGGTATGTGACTACATATTTTGATTAATGCATTATGGAATGGTTCATGTTTGAAGGTTGGGAGAGTTCAGAAGCAGATTGAAAGTCTTGATAAGCTGAAGGAGCCACCAAATTACAGTAAGTTGCAGAAGCAGCCATTGAAACATTCAGAGTCATTCATAGTGACAACAAAATGGGAAACTTTTGATTAAGCAGCCACATGAAACGTGGAATATATTAGCCAATTTGCTGTTTCTTTTTGTTATTGTTACACATTTGTGATATTAAAATTCTTTCTTCTTCATGATAAGATTAAATCTCCGTTGTGTTGAAACTGTGGTGGAGGATTGCTTGCTAGTTGTTGAGTTATAAATTTGAAATAGCAGAGTTTTGGGGTTAGGAAGCTGTACGGAATTTGAAGTGACAACATCAACGTGTCAACATCTGTCGGCGTGTTGGTGCTTAGCTGTGACCACTGAATCTTTTTTCCTCCTGGCTTTTTTCTTTTTATTTGTTTATTTATTTTTGAAAACTTCCTCTCTTTTTCTTTTTTTTTGCTCTTTATTTTTTTTGGCCAATTCGCTCTTCGATACTTTAGGGAGCCACATTCCTGTGACGATTCGTTGCCTTTGAATAATGTTGAGACTCGAGATTTTTAACGTTTGCTTCTTTGGCTTGGGACCATACTCCTCACTATTAGGACAATTCTTTTAATATACATTATTTTTTTCACGTTTCAGTTTTTAATGTAAAACTTAATTTAAGGGTTAATGTTCATCTTATAAATAAGACTTATTTGGCATGATTATCAATTTTTTTTCAAATTAATCTTAATTGATATTCCTTTAATAATAATCAAGTCAGATAAGTAAAGAAAATAAATAAAGTGTTTCAAAAAAAAATCATATTAACTAATTTAACTAATACTTTCAATCTAATTAAATTAGTTAATTAAGTACTACTTCCGGTCCTTATTATAAAAGCTAGTTTAACTTTCAATTTGATTCTAAATATAAGATATCAATTCATTTTATCTTCAATATTTATTCATTTTGTTCTCAAGTAATCTCTATAGTGGTTACATATGTTAAAACGTTGCTATCAATTTGTAATTTAAACACACATAATTAATAAAAACATTTTACGGAAGATGACATTTATTTACTATAAATAACCAACTTAACTAATTTTTTTAGTTTCTCCAAATTAACTTACTATATCTTATACTGAGGAACGGAGTTAACATTACACTAAGGATCACATGAGTAATAGTTAAAACTCTTATCAAAATTAGAAAGTAAATCCATTAGCTTGCGAATTCGGACAAGTATATAAGTATCTTCGGATTAAACTTTATTGGGAAAATTTCATTTAAGGACCGCAGAAGGGAATTTATATCAGTCAACCCCCAAAACATTATGAAATATCACTGCAGGACCAAGAGACCAAACTGAAATTAAAACTAAGAGTAAAATTATAATAATACCTCTCAGTTTTATTTTTTTAGAAAAATAAATATTAATGGACGTAACTGTGCCGGTGCTCAAGTGGCCGGAATTTTTTTTTTAAAAAAAAAGGTGGTGGAAGGTTTGAACCCATGAGCCCTTGGCTCACCAAAAGTGATGTAACCACAAAACCAAGCAAACCACTCAATCATGTAGTGTAAATAATATATATATATATATATATATACAAAACAAACACAACTGTCCAAGTATAAGTGAACAAGTGAAATTAGACGATTTATAAATAAAATTCAGCAATTTACAACAAAAATTAAACAATTTACAAATGACATAATAAAATTTACAACAGCAAATACAAGTGTTTAAGTACAAATGAGTAAATGAAATTTAAAGATTTACAACAAAAGTTTATGGATTCACAACCCAAATTTGACTATTCACAAGAAATACAAGAGAATTTACAGCCCAAAATGTAAGTGTCTGAGTATAATTGAGCCAATTAAAATTAGACACTTTACAAGTGAAATTCAGCAATTTACAACAAAAATTTGGCAATTTACAAATAACATAATAAAATTCACAACCCTAAATGCAAGTGTTTAAATGTAAATGAGCAAGTGAAATTTGAAAATTTATAACAAAAGTTTATGAATTCACAAGTAAAATTCGACAATTTCACTTGCTTATTACTACTTAAACACTTGCATTTGGGGTTGTAAATTCCATTATGTTATTTGTAAATTGCCTAATTTTTGTTGTAAATTACTGAATTTCACTTGTAAATCATCAAATTTCACTTGTAAATTAATAAACTTTTGTTGTAAATCTTCAAATTTCACTTGCTCATTCACACTTAAACACTTGCATTTAGGGTTGTAAATTCCATTGTGTTATTTGTAAATTGCCAAATTTTTGTTGTAAATTGCTAAATTTTATTTGTAAATTGTTGAATTTCACTTGTTCACTTACACTCAAACACTTATATTTTGAGTTGTGAATTCTCTTGTATTTCTTGTGAATAGCCAAATTTGGGTTGTAAATTCATAAATTTTTATTGTAAATTTTCAAATTTCACTTGCTCATTTACACTTAAACACTTGTATTTAGAGTTATGAATTTTATTTAGTTATTTGTAAATTGTCTAATTTTTGTTGTAAATTGCTGAATTTTACTTGTAAATAGTCTAATTTCAATTGTTCACTTATGCTCAAACACTTATATTTTGGGTTGTGAATTCTCTTGTATTTCTTGTGAATAGCCAAATTTGGGTTGTAAATTCATAAATTTTTATTGTAAATTTTCAAATTTCACTTGCTCATTTACACTTAAACACTTGTATTTAGAGTTATGAATTTTATTTAGTTATTTGTAAATTGTCTAATTTTTGTTGTAAATTGCTGAATTTTACTTGTAAATAGTCTAATTTCAATTGTTCACTTATACTCAAACACTTACATTTTGGGCTGTAAATTCTCTTGTATTTCTTGTGAATAGTCAAATTTGGGTTGTGAATCCATAAACTTTTGTTGTAAATCTTTAAATTTCACTTGCTCATTTGCACTTAAACACTTGCATTTGGAGTTGTGAATTTTATTATGTCATTTGTAAATTGCCTAATTTTTGTTGTAAATTGTTGCATTTCACTTATAAATCGTCTAATTTCACTTGTTCACTTATACTTGAACAGTTGTGTTTGTTTTGTTATATATATTTTTATTTGCATTACATGATTGAATGGCTTACTTGGTTTGGTGGTTACATCACTTTTGGTGAACCAAGAGATCATGGGTTCAAACCTTCCTTTGGCCACCTTTGGCCACCTTGTTTAAAAAAAAAAAAAAATTCCGGCCATCAGAGTTACAGTAACGGCTGGAATTATTGTAATCTTACTCTTAATTTTAATTTCAGTTTGGTCTCTTGGTCTTACAGTGATATTTCAGAATATTTTGGGGGTTGACTGATATAAATTGTGGTCCTTAAATGAAATTTCCCAACTTTATTTGCTGAGAAGGGAACATAAAGATAACGTCTGCATTTTATGCACCACCCAATGCCAATATGGCCTACATCTGTCAATGATCCGTTAAAGATATTTTGTTTGTTGGAATCTCCTTTTTTTTTTTGTTGGCCCACTTTTTTGTTGGAATCTGAAAACGCAAGAGTCGGCGAACTGCCAACACCGTCCCATACAAATTTGAGGGGTAATTTTTTTTTTTTGTTTCTTCTTTATTAATGTATTTATTGTTTTCATTTATTTGTATTGTCATATTAAATACACTTCCACTATTTTCACTAATAATACGTATATGACAGATGGTATTTTTGCACATATTCATATTATAATTGGTCGCACTTTAAAGAATCTCTCCATTTTAAAATTGACTATGTAAATTCTCTTTCAAAGCCACGTTTGTATTTGTATGGTTAGGTTTTTCCTTCAGTGAAATTAACCTAAGTTTATTAAAATACAGTGTCACACATTTATAACCGGCATATTGGACTTTTCTTTTAGTTTGGTTTGTTCGATGAAAATAAGACATGTTTCTGACTCGGGAAAATAATGTATGACTTCTACTGGATTGAGGTAACTAGTATGACTTTTCAAGGTGTTACTTAAAAGTCTATTGGCCTGAAAATTATGTACACATAAGCCGACATTCGGGATATATGTATAAGTGAGCATAATTTTGTTGACATTAACATTTTTATTTATGCACAAAGAAATAGAAATGTTTCATTTAAAATTGCACATCAAATTGGTGATAATATGATTCAGTCCTTAAAAAAATTGGCTACGATGTGATAAACTCAGAAAGATTTTAGGTTTATTTTGCTGCCTGGGCCCAACTTCATTTCATTGTGGGAGTTTTGGGTTCATATGGACCCAGGCCGGACTTGAAGTTTCAAGCAAAAAAAGAAAAATCACATCTTTGGTGCGTTATTGTTAATCACAACTTAACTATTTTTTGTACCAAAACAAACTTAAACTATTTTGCTTAATCTTCTTAAATAGAGTATAAAAAAATTAATTAAAAAAATGTGTTTGATTAATTAGAGAATATCGATTTCATGCATTATGGTAAAAAAAAAAAATACAGTGCAGATGATTTAATAAATAAATGTTGACAAGTCATCAAGATGGATTATTTGAAGATTAGGTTAACTAATGAGCAAGTTTTAGGAGCAGTCAATTCAAAAAAAAGCTGCTTCCACTTGTAACTCACAGGCCTGTGATTCAAAGGATTAGTCCCATTTGACATCGCATCTATAAGCGGCGATTTAATTATTCAAACAACCCTAATTAAAGTCGAAATATTCAAAACATTATAATTCTACAACCTGGGCCACCAACTCATGCAATTGAAATACCCATCAGAGTTGAAAGTTGAAACTCGTGACAATATAATATAAATTAATAATAATAATAATAATATAATCAAATCAACCGTGGAATGTGACTTTAATTAATGGAGTAACAGAATAAATAGACAGGGATTATTGTAAGCAGGTGTCCAATATGCCGGCACCGAAAACAAATTAAATTCACAAATATAATTAGTACGACAATGATGTTGATATTCTTGTGTTCATCGTCTTCACCCTGAGCTGTACCCAATTCAATTGAATCTCCTCAATCTTATGTGGCGCCCTATGTTTAGCTCACTTGTGTGAAATCTCCAACTGATTGAGGTTTGGATGGAAATTTTTATACTCCTCAATTTTTTTCTTTTTATTTTTTCCCTTTATACATATTAATATATAGCATGTGGGTTCAATCACTTAACGACCATGATATAATCCATACATATAACATTTAAAGAATAATTATATGGAATTTTCTACTCTTGCCTTAGTTCTTTAACTTGGGGTAACTCGTGATTTGAGAGAAGCTACAATAATGGGGGCAAAAAAGTAGACGATGGTGCAAAAGATAGAGATTATCAAGGAGTTTTCTAATTGACTAATGGATAAAATAAAAATATGTAATTTTTAAATAGGGTTAATTTAAGTTTTAATGTGTTC